ACGCCCACCCCTAGAATGCGATAATAAAATACGAGGGTGGGATACGAGAGCGGAACCATTCCGAGAACCAAAAGACGAATCCTAAAACCGAAAAACCAAACCATAGTTAGGAAGACATTGTAGAACCAAAATTAAAAATCCAAACAATACAACTCCAACCCTGACAAAGGTAAATGTCATCCTTCCATTGAACCACCAAGCTTTAGAACACAAGCTTCGATAGGCATAGAAAAAGGGGACGATGCCGCTGCAACCACACTCGAGAAGACTTCACCGAATCTCGAGTCCAAAACTAAGTCAAGTAAGAGTGACTCGAGCTAATATAAACCAAGAAGAAGAGATCACCAACAAACTAATTTAGAACCCAACCAAATCCGAAATTTCTTCATATTGAATACAACTCAAACCTCGAAGGCATGGAGTTGGTATAGATAAATGCCAATAGAAGAATTATTCGAGAAACGGATATCGAAGATACTAAACAACCAGCTAGGCAAGGAAACAACCTCGAAGTCAACTTCGTCACCAAAGAAAGAGTCACACATAACTAGCAGCACCAAGACATCACCTTAAGCAAGACCAGGAGGCAACGAATGTAAAAACACACAGATCATCCGGAGGAGAGATAGTTTGGACCAAACTCAGTGAGAACAATTAACCTAGACATACATAGATTGATCGTTAAAGCAAACTAAAGGGGTTCTGCATCGAGGAAGATAAATCTCAAAGGCCAACGACAACAAGAATAAGAATCTCCACTATCACAATCAACAGAGATAAGGAGCTACTAGGCTAGAGACCACCTAATACCAACCCAAATCGATACCAAAGGACTAAAACCCAACAGATCTGGCCCTGCAAGCTATGAATCAGAGAAATCGATACCTTGTAACACCAGGCGAGTAGTCGCTTCACCGCAAGACTCACTGACCATCAAGCCAGCGAAACCGAGAGAAGCACCGGTCGTACTCCATCACACACCAGGCTAGACCTCGAGATTTCACAACCGGAACACAAGAGCCCCCCTTGCCGAAACTTAAAAAACCGATAACAACGGAGTCTGATAAACCAAACCCGACCGACGACGGAGTTACAGAGCCTCCGATCGTCGGCCGAGCCAACAACAAGATCGCTTCTTCTTTCTCTCTCTAGCGACGCTAGGTCTTAGAGACGATCTATCGAGTAGCCTAAAAGCTGTAAAAATTAAATGGTGATGAGATATGTTAAAAACATAAAATTTATGTAAAATATTGTAGTTATGCATTCATTTTAATCTAG